CAAGTGTGTACACACACACACACACACACACACACACACACACACACACACACACACACACACACACACACACACACACACACACACACACACACACACACACACACACAACACACACACACACACACACACACACACACTCAGAGACACATACACACACACACACACACACACACACACACACACACACACACACACACACACACACACACACACACACACACACACACACACACACACATAATTCTGCAGCTGGAAAGATGACATCATCGCCCAACATTGTTACCTCCAGTAACTGATCTGGAGCCAGAGCTGCAGGGCTCTGCGTGATTGGTCACAATGTAATCAGGGACTGTAAACTGAGCTAAGATATGTACTAAAGGAAAGATGACACAGGCAGTTTTACATTTTATGGTTTAAGATTATTAAATTATACTATTATCTGGAGGGAAAGGGTCTCTTTTGGGGCTTGTAACATATTGTGAAATAATTGTTGGGAGTTCTACTTAGTGTTTCTATCATAAACATACATTTCTTTGTTGCTAACAGCTATAGGAAGTGTAAGACATTCAGCACTTTTACTATTGTTTTTTCATATCTGGGTCAGAATTTTTAAATCCAAAGTGTCAAAAAGATTAGAAAGTCTACCGTCCAAATGTCTGCAGGTTTTGCAGTGTTTGCTTGAGTGTATAGTATTTTACATTGAAGCACTGTTAGCACTGAAAAAGCTTGCAAATCCTACAATTAGGAGGAAAAGAACACAGAAGAGGAGATAAACATTGAGCATTGATTTTCACTCACCTCTCATGCCTCCCCAGCTTTGGGAGTCTGGGTCCACTTCATCCTCCATCATCTCAGCAGCCTATAGGAACACACACACACACACACACACACACACACACACACACACACACACACACACACACACACACACACACACACACACACACACACACACACACACACACACACACACACACACACACACACACACGTAAACACAGACCCTGCAGATCTCATTCACATGTCCACATTGCCCATTTCATGTTGCCAAGGACAGGTCTTCATCGGCAGTTTCACTGCTTTGCCTTCGCTTTGATCCCATTATTTCGGGTTGACCAATAGGAAGCCAATATGACACATTACTCTGATAGTGAGCTTACATTTCTTAGTTTGGAGTAGAAAGGCAGAACAAAGTCACCCTTTGGTATGGTGAGCTTTGAAACACTCCCCCATGAAAGATTACAGGCTATCTCAAGGGGCACGACGGGCTGTTTGTGAGGGTCCGGTCAACTTTTCTTAGTTCTGAGAGGTAAGCGTTTTTCTGATTCAATATATTTCTGTGTTGTGCATTGGTCTGTGTCTTCCGTTAACATTTGTTCAATTCAAATGTTAAAGAGTATTATTTAAAAGAGGTCAAAACTCTGTTTTTTATAACTTTATTAAGTGCACTTGCCCAGTAAGTGGATGTTTAATGGAAACTTGTTCAATAATGTATGACCTAGAGACAACCATTTCTCCAAAAATCCCATTATACCTATTCCAACATACATGTCAACAGTGTCAACACACTAACCAGTCATTAAACAATGAATCTTTTAAAGATTTGGCACAGCACAACCTAGTGGTCGCAAACAAAACTTCTAAACACCTCAGCCATTTCTCTGAAGAAGCAGTCTAATATTTACATGTCCTCTTATTGGATCACATAATTTGCCTGAGTCACAAAGGTAAGGGTAAATCTACAGCAAAACTTGCCGTATGCAGAATGATGTAATTGTTGAACACATCTGGAAATATGGATGATGTATAGTATATTTTATTTTGGGTTGTATATGAGTAGCTCTGGCGAGGGTTTTTTGGTCAATTCTGATGATCAAAGTACATGCTGGGATCCAAAGGGTAAGATTAGCAGAGAGAATGTTAACAAAGTCCCAAGTAATTAAAACACATTTGTGTGAAGTGCAACAGTAAATGTATTACCCATCTGTGTACTGCTCAATCGTTCTTCCAATATTAAAATACATTTTTGTCACGAAAGTAGCAATAGAGGCCCGAGCTGTGACTGAAACAAGTTATTTTGCATTGATAGTTTTCGGATGATCAGTTAAAGGAAGTGAAACGTGCAATATATCCTTTGGCAATTCTACTGTGCAATAACCATCATAATTGTTTTTGTGCTAAAGATAATTTTGATAGTACCTCAAACCTTAATATGTTCATGTTCACTTATCTATTAAATGCTACTACACATTTTATTAGGCATGGATTAGTACTTTATTGTCTTTATTTAATTAACATGTTAGCTACTTAATAATTGCTTGCCTTTTTATCTGCTATGTCACTTTTGCTGTGGTGCTGTAAATGTCCCGCTGCGGACTAATAAAGGGATTCTGTTTCTGGAGCACCGTGGACAGTATAAAGTTCTCATTTCCTTCTGCAGCTGCAGCTCACCTTGTAGATGCCATTCCTTCCATAGCCAGGTAATGATGCAGTCTTATTGTAGGGGAAATCTGATAAAGAAACACATCCATACACATGAGCTATCAATCACTATGGATACTGTTGGATTCTTGTTAATGACAGCGGGCTGAATTTGAGATATCCTCACTGGGCTGCGAGGTGTCAGTGGGCAGACTGCAGGTGGACTTGCAGGGGTCCAGCTCCTCGGGGCCCATCTGGCCATCTATCTCACTCTTTAAAATCATCCAACTGGTCCTCTGTGAGGAAGAAAGACGGGGGGGAGATTGAGGTTATGGATGATTGGATTTTGGCAAAGTATGAGTTAATTAATTAGTAAATGGATGTACAGTATTTGTAAAGTTTAGGAAAATGGCTTGAATAGAGAAAGACAAAAACACGCATCTGCACGTAGACCCACCTTACTATCCTCCCCATCCTGCCAGGATGCTCTAGAAGCTGTGAACACAGTCAGATGTTAATGTGCTGGATCACACATTGAGCAGAGTTTCACTCAACAAGTATTTAAATGGAATTAGTAAATTGCTATGAAATCAACAACACCGACCATTGCAACATTACAGACGGTCTAATCTATCCTGGGTTTAGTAATCACGGCAATCTGTGCTACTCAGCAAATAGACTTAATGTGCTGTTGCTTGTCCACTACTATCCAGTAAGTGTTACGGAAACACATAACACTAAACAATGCTTAATAACACAATTCATAAACTGTCTCATGGAATCAATATATCCTGTAACCAACACAAACAAATCTCAAATTATTCTTAAATACTCTCTGTGAGGAATGATAATGACACAAAAATATCCATGGCTCTCAATCCAAACAATGTAAACTAAATTGCATTAAAGCGAGGAGCACCTTTCGTGTCAACATTATTCTAATCTTTGAAATAAATTACCAGTTTAAGAGAACAAATTATTTGGACAGCATGATTTATTTTGCAAAAATTAAGCTTCCTTTTATTTATTTTGGTCAATGGTAATGTCTATGGTGATATGATCCACTAACCAAATGCCTGCTAAAGCATTAGCACAAATGCTACACAGATTTAGCTAAATAACTTTTGTAAAAAACGATGATCTTTTATCAGTTAATAGCTTATCATTGCCCCACACAATTAAGTGTAGTCCATTGTCCATGTAATGTCAATTTACACAACTCCAAGGTTAAATCATTAGATACACTCTTTACCTTGGATAGGAAGATAAATACTACCCCCCCCACACTTTTTGGCAGACAGAACACACCTTGTCAGTGACCTCATGTCTGCGTGTACACACACTCTCAAGATGCTGACAGCAGGTGTATCCATCTGTAGGACTATAATGTGTGCAGCTGATTAACCCGTCATATCCAATCAAGAGGAGTGTTTACTCGGATGATGTACTGTAGCTGATAAGAGATCTATGTCAGGATGTTTTGAGTAACCCTGTCATGTGAACACATATGTTGAGGGCAACTACAGTGAAAAGTGCTCATCATAAATTGTCACACACAAACAATGGTGAGGGAAGAAGACGCGTGACCGAAACAGTGACCGGTACAACAGTGATGCCACCATACGAAGGAATCATGTGCTCAACTCCTCACAGTGGAACACACAATCATAACCATCAAATGGGCTGGTGAGATGAGTGCAGAGACATGCATGCAAAAGAGGGGGGGGGCACAGTTAAGAGCCTTTCTTACAACCATCAGTCCCAAATGGGTTTGATTATAACAATCTGTAATCAAAGTTTTGCTGTATTGCCATGTCAGATCAAACCTTGATATTAGCTAGAGGGAGGAACTGGGCACCCTCTTATTAGGCTGACATTGAGCCAACAACTGCGGCTGCACAGGCTTCTAGAAGCAGAAATGTTCAATCATGTTAGAGTCTGGCACAACTTCAATTGATGATGTCACAGAAAGTGTTTTGCTAACTAATGCAAAACATCCCTGGTGACATCACTAATAAGAATGTGGTTAGAATTGCAACATATGTGAATGCTTCATCCTGTGGGGCCAGGGTCACTCGAGCTATAGTGGGTTTAATACCCTCGCTGCAGTGCTCTTACACCAGCCCTATGCATGTAGCTCCATGGATTCTACTGAAGGAGAAATAGATGAACAGGGATAATCACGAGGTGCTGACGGCAGGCAGCATGCAACACATCGTGCAGAGACCAGACCAGAGGATGTTAGGAGGGAGGAGACTCTACCATGCTGTTTGTAGATTGGGGGTTTTCTATAGATATTATCTTTGACCAGAGTCTCTGAAGATGTGAACAGACACAGAGGGAAAAAAAAGGAAGAAGCCAAAATGAGAGGGGGAGAGAGAAAGAAAGAGAATGGAGAAAAAGAAGCATGAGTTAGCCGTTTTGAGGGATTTTAAAACAAAGTAAAAAGGGGCCGCAGTATTGGTTAAAAATCAAGACATTTTTCATTTTTTTATAATTGCAAATCAGACACAATATTTTTCATGCAACATATTCAAAAAGATATCAATGATATTGGTCTTTGCTGAATTAGAGGTTATTTAATGCAAAACAATTCAATAGTATAAGAAACCACACATTGTCCCCATCAAACAGTATTAGCATTCTTTTTAGATTTTTGAATAAAAAAGGCCCCTTTTATTCTAGTTGCCAGCGCTGTGAACCCGGAAATATTGAGGACCAATGTTTTATGTTAGAGATGTATATTACAGGTCTCTAGCACATAGAAAACTGCTGGATGTGCATCTAAAGTATTTCCTTTTATCCAATTCCCTCTAGTTAGAAGACACATTTGGTAGAATTATTTTTTCAAACTTACTTCTTGAAACGCTGTTTGACCAAATCATGGGGCAACATACCAAGTGCTGAGGTCACAAGTGGGGCTAAAGGCTCTGTTTCTATGCTTCTACAGTCTTCACTCATAAAACCCACAAATACCAAAGCTGTGGCATAGCTGTTGAAGTTTATAGTCATGGAGAAAGGGGTCCAATGAACAAAAAAAAACCTCATATTTGTGAAACATCTTTTTAAACTGCCAAAGGTTGACGTTTTAACCATGCAGCAGTACTGTGGAAAAGAGGATTTACAGAGAGCTTCTTATCTTTCGGTCACAGGTCAGTAAATAATGCTACTCTGTAACCTTACCTAAACCTAAGTATCAAGTTACAAAATAATACTTCCATTTTTACAAAAGTTGGCAACAGTTATTTTGCGAAAGCTTGTATATTTATAGTAAATTGTTAAAATGTTATAGCTTACCTTGTAATTCATCTCTGTATTACTAATGTCAGCCATATAATATGTTATGATGCAGGAAAATGAGAGAGTTGCAAGCCGAGCAGTGTGGTTGTTGCCTACCTGGAACGTGGAAATGCCGCGGTGCAGCCACATATGTCGAGGTAGAGGAAGGGGATTTGCCATCAGAATAGGTGGATAAGCTGGGGGTGCTCCGCCCACTCTCACTGCCTTCAGGGGAGGAAGTTGGGTAGGCATTGCAGATGAGAGGCAAAAGGGAAAGGGTTTGGGATAAAACAAAGGGTGTTAGGGGGCAAAAAGGCAGCATTATGGTAGGCATATTGATAATGCTCAAAGAAAAAATCTGTTAATATTAAGATGATGCAGGTGACTTGATTACCCAGCCATATACTGTAATTGTATTTACTGTACTTACAAGTGTATTTAATGTATTTCTAGAGAATCCTACAGGTTCACTGAAATATTAGGTAATGAGACACAAATATCCCATAGCATTTTATTTCATAGATATTGTTAGGCTATGTAGTGGCTTTGCCCAAATATTGATCCCCCCCACATCTCCAGATCCTCTTGGAGAGCCCCGAGCACCAGGTGAGCTTGGTGTTGTAATTGGTGTTTGAACTACCATACTTTCAAGGTGACAAACATTTTCTAGAGAGTTGGAGATGCTGATCGTGGATATTTTTCAAAAAGACCATAGTAGGTTTGTGAAACTGCTCTCATCTCTATACTGTATTACAACCTAATGCGCAGTATGTGGAAGCACGCCGGCACTAGGCCCGGGTTAGGTGTAGCACCAGAACAACAGACCTTTGAGTAAACTGGCATGGGATGGAGGTTGTGTCCTCATCACTCGAATATTTTATACTACAAAGTCATGACATTTTTGTGTATTATTATGATTGTCATTAGGATAACGTCAATAAAGGTAACCCTATGTGTTATATGACATGTGTCTAGTTTTTTGTGTTTGTTATGAGTGTGAGATTGTTACATTCATTAACATTTAGCTGACTTCCTTTATGTGTTCCTATTGTTACATCACAGGCAGGCTATGTGATGAAGGCACTGGCACCCTTAGGCCAAAAGTAATAAACACTCTACATCCAGTTTAGAGAAAGAAACAGCAGAGAGAGAGTTTAACATTGTGCAGGAGAGAGAGTGTTAGCTGATTGAAAACACACTCTCCCCCCTCAGACAGAGAGGAACCATCAGCAGAGATCTTGGATGAGATCACTTACATACACAGCAAGGCTGTTAGTGTTGGTGACTGATCACACACACACACACACACACACACACACACACACACACACACACACACACACACACACACACACACACACACACACACACACACACACACACACACACACACACACACACACACACACACACACACACACACACACACACAGCAAAGTACTCTTAGTGCAGGTCTAAGCGATGGGCAGATCCTCAATAAAACATCTGGAGCGATATGGAGCCTGATAGGAGTTGTTCGAGGCTTTGGGAGTTTAGGGAGGAGATGTGTAATAATTTATGTGAGCAGATTAAACATTTGGAAAAAGGTGAAAGCCAATAATTAATCAAAACCTTATAGCACATTCACAGAAGGGGGAAGAGAGTTTTGGGCTCATTAACAAAAAATAGGAGAAGTAGGGAAATGATAAAAAAAAGCATGCATTATTCAGCCTTGCAAGGGCATAAACTCTCTCAAGTTTCCAAATGATACAAAACAGCTCTAGGTAATTATTTCAAACAGTGCAGTGTGTGTTACTTCCATATGTGTCGCTGGATGATAAGAACATGGAAATCGGGCTTATTGCCCACTGATGAAAACACTTGAATTGCAGTAGTACAAACTGGGAGTCATGATCAGAAGAATCACAAACCGGCATCAACGCTTATTGCCATATGTCAGAGAGATTGTAACTTTAAGTCAGACTCCCACAGCGCCTTCTACAGTATGACACTTATAAGGGGAAACCTGACAGCTCATTCAAGTTTAAGCCTTTTGTATAAAAACTAATCTTTTTCGCGGCATGTAAGGAAAAGTTAAGGCCTTAACAAGAACAATGACCAATGTGTTTTTTATTCAATTGTAACTGGCAACCAAATTACTACTCTGTCGCTCAAGCTATTTCCTTTGTCCATTTCTCCTCCTCTCTTTCATCTTTCCCATTGGAGAATTCCCCTCTCAGCCTCTCTTCCCTGCTAAGGAAAAACCACCAAAACCCTTGAACGCGTGTTTGTGATTTTTCTGTGCAAAAGTGAAAGCTCCCACTCCTCCTTTTAATCCGCAAGATCCAAGCTAGCATATGTGAAAAACATGTGTTCCTACTGTAAGGGTTCTGTGAGTAAAAGCAAGGCTTTGGAACATTCTTGGTGCAGTAGGTACTGTTTGAAATAAGGCTTTTCCTTTTAATTAGAAAAAAACACTTTATTTGTTTAAATGCATGCCTTGTACAGTCTTGTACTGTGCGTCAAACCCTGGACCTTGATTACTTTATTGGACTGTACTGAACATCCCTTTTCAAAGGTAAGGCTGTTGCAGCTCTGGAGGCAGTGGTCCCTTCGAGACCAGGTGGAACATTACTTGAGGTAGACCTCTCAAAATAAATCTGAACAATCTATTTCAGGATAAAGCTATTTGGGTTGAAATTAGTTTAACATTAAAGTGACAGCCCTAACCTAATGTTTTAAAAAGAAGTCACTGAATATAGTCAAGGGAGTTGTTTCTAGGGAATGCATTTGCTGGCAATGTTCTTGTGCTTCTGCAAAAACAAGACCTCACCAATCATTATCTTCAGCCTCCCTGCACACCGCTGTCATTTTATCAGTTAACAAAACACAAAGCCTCAACTCTCGATCATAATCACATCAAGGACAAAAGGACAACAAACGAGTGTTCATTCAGGAAAACAACAGGGCAGATCAGACAAAGGCAGGCAACAATTAAGTTATCAACCTTCCTCCGAATGCCAAATGTGTCAGGTTCAAGTTAAACCATGCAAAACAACCACCACGTCCACAAGTGAACAAGCAAAATGAGAACACTGAGTGGTCCAACCAATGTACCTCGATGCACCCAATGAAACCCAACAACACCACAATATTGGACAACAACATCACAAAACCTGCTTTCCATTCCACTGGGGAGGGAGACACAAAGAGGAGAAAGACTTCAGGGGTTTTACCGTTAGGAGGAGGTAAACTGAGATGCAGGGATGTCCTAGCTTTAGAGTCAGGGAGGGGGTCCTGTTTGAACCCTGAAGGGATGGGCAGATCAGGGGATGGGGAGAAGATGAAGCAAAGGGAGGTGGTTGGATAAGCCTTTCTGCAGGAGTTACAGCGTGCAAGTGGAATGTGCACAGTACTGGTTTGTGATGTTGATTTCAAAGACGGTCAAACTGTGTTCACCCAAATGCAACACAGCAGCCCAGGCGTTCCCTTTCTCCTCATGAGTAATGGGTCTATGGTGAACCGGGATAACTAATCTTGAGTGTCCAACACATGGTTAATTTGGTGCTAGACCCCAGCCCATGCAACGTGAAGTTAATTCAGTGGTCATATCACAGCACTCCATTCTTAAAGACCTTTGGTCGAATACAGAGAGGACTGATTTTATCTGCTGTAGGGAAGCTGTTTCCATTTTTCTAGTCCTTAATGCAAGGTTTGTACGTTTTCTTTTCAGCTTGGAGAACACATTAGAAACTGTGCTTTAGGGGCACTATGAATCCCCTTTCAAATATTAGTTCTTAATAAGGATGACGGTTTTTGGTTTTGTCTAGGGTTTGACATCAAAATAAGTTCTGACAAGTTGTCCACTGTCTGTATTGGACCAGATCTTGGTCGGTCTCAGCGTGCTTTGATACCTCTGAAGTAAGGGATGTAGTTGTGCTGCTGCAGCATGGCCAGGGTGGTGGGGTTCAGGTGATAGGACAAGCCTGCACTGCCCACTACTGGTATGGGCGACAACTTGCCATCACCACCCCCACTCTCTTCAGCCCCAGCAGGACAGTGAGCAGGGACAGAAGGTGAGTCCCTGGCCACAGTGGAGGGGCACCTAATGGCCCCCATGAGGGTTGGAGGCAGGGGGAGAGAGCTGGAGTCTCGGGCCTGGCTGCTGGGTCTACCCACAAGGCTTACCTCTGGCCCTGAACGTCCAATCAGATCAAACATCATCTTTAATGGAAGTTGGAAAGTATTGTGTATCTTTACAGTTACTTTTTTGTTGCAATTTAGCATGAAAATAAAAACAAGACTGATGAAGTTAAACAATGAATGATACAATACATATTTAGATTTTAAAGCCTCTATTTATCAAGCTTAGGAAATTGCTTTATGACACATACTGCACTTAATTAATAAAAGATTCAACTGCTTTTTGCCAAATTAGCGTACTTTCCCTTTACATAATATATATTTTTCAAGCCAATCAAATGACTTGACACTCTTTAGTAAACAGCTGTCAAAGATACAGTATGTATTGATTTTGAGAAAATGTTATAGCATACATTATCTTTATTGATTTAGTTCGATTATTTGCCTATAAAGTATAATAAAACCGAACCTAAAGTAATACTGCATCTATTTATTTTGTATCTGCACACAGAGAAAAACAAAAAACAAAAAACAAGTCTACTTTGTGGTAGCTCTTAAGTCTTACAAGAAGCTGGAGTGATCAAATCGTCGGTACAATCTGTAGGAGGCATTCTAAACTCTTGATTCAACTTTTGATAGATGATGAAACATATAATGAAGCAATGACAGGTACATATTTACAGACTAAAAGCAGATATCAACTTAGCTTGACAACCATGCAGTTTTCAGAATATCCAATGGATTTTGACAGAGGAATAAGGGTTGCAGCTTTTAATCACGCAGTCGAGAAGCATGTCATTTCATTTCTGGTTTTGGGTATCCGGAAATCTTCTCAGAATATATGAGAATTTCATTTTGGATGTTTGTAGCAGATGTGTTATATAATATAGCAAGCAAGCATTTTTCGCAATCATCTTGTTTCCTAATAAATGTGCATGTCACCTTACACAAATCATGGCTAATGCTTCAAAAATGCAGAATTCAATAATTAACCTAGAGGTTTTCACAAAACAACAGCAATATACGGAGAACGTCTCTGTGTAATGTGTGTGCACGAGGCTGGTACCTGGACGGCTGTAGTTCTGGGGGGAGCGGCACGGGGTGTAGCGTCCGTAGCCCCCCAGAGAGCTGTTAGAGCTGGGGCTGGAGGGCCTCCGCTGACGGGGGGACTTCTCCCCATCGCCCTGGACACACAAACACATAAAGTAAAGAGGTCAGTGCTTTTTGTGAAAAAAATAAACACCCTCACTCCATAATCACCCCATAATGGGACGGGTCAATCAAGGCTTACAAAGATCTAGATTATATATACGGAGGTTAAGGTTAAGGTTAGTTTATTTGTATTGCACATTTTAAGACACAGAGGCAATTCAAAGTTCTTCACATAGGCATTTAACACATAATAATTAAAAACACAACAAACACATAAACAAAAACAAACAAATAAAAGACAATTCATAAAAGCAATAAAATACTGGCTGCAGCTAAAAGTGCAATGATAAGGCACGGCTAAAGGATCTCAGGATAGGCTGCATTCAAAAGAAAGGTTTTGAACCTTGATTTAAAAGAACCCAGGGTTAGGGCGGACCTCAGAACTTCAGGCAGTTTGTTCCAAGCTTGTGGTGCATAAGAACTAAAAGCTGCCTCTGCAAATTGAGTTCTGACTCTGACAGAGAACATGAAGACAGAGATCACTATCTGTCATGTAAAGTTAGCAGTGGACTACAGTAATGCAAAAGACCATTACACTCTCATCTTTATTTCAAATCTCTTTCCACTCATTTGAAGGTTGGCACACAATGCCAAGATATCGTAAATGTAAAAATCACTATACTTTGGAATAATTTCAACCAGAATTTCCCCTGACTAGTACATGATAAACGCGGTGCATTATAACTCATGTTAGGAGGACAGCACCTGCAGCAGGAGCTGTCAATCTCTAGCGGCTCTTATTGGTTTTCTTTCAGCTGTTTTCACATCCAAAATGAAAAAGTGAAAGAAGAGTGCCCTTAGAAGATAAGCTCTTCAACAGAGGCAGAGGAGCATTATTTTACTAAATTATAGTTAATTAGTTACATCTGTACTTATGAATTAGGAGAAGAATGGACTGATGTTGGTGTCTCTCTGGTGTTTGGAGTAAGCACCTACACCTGTCAGCAATGTTTTGAAGCCCATGTTAACAAACAGGTGGATACTGGACGTTCAGATCCAGGGGCATCAACCCGGCAGAAGTAAGACGGCAAGGCATTTCGTCTGGTCGGATACCTCTCCCTCGTTAACTTTTCAAGTTGAAAAGGAATAAAATGCAATCCCATGGTCCTTTTTTGTTTTGATGTTGGTTGTAGGATTGGCTGTTACAGCCGACGACACCACAATGTCAACCAGCTATATTTCAAAAAAAGGGAAAAAGGTACACTAGTTCGCTCTGCGTACAGGTCAATGGGTTGTGTTTGCTTGTACCCTCCAAAGATGGCTGACCTTCTATTGATGACGTCACATTCCTATTCCCTATAGCAGTGTGTTTTTATGACAGTGACTGTCACTGTAGATAATCCACAGAATGTGCTACTTCTTTAGTAGAAATTAGTTTAACGGTTCTCAATACAAAATTCAGTGCAGAGGAATTGCATCCACACATACTGAAGGCAAAGCCAGCAACGAGTTGCTAGCTGTGCTAACGGAAGTACTAAACTGTGTTAACCTAGGGTGGAACGAGAGGGGGGGCGTTAGACTCCTGTCATGATGCTTTCAGCCGGAAAGACCCCACATGAGTGCAGCACAGAGACCTCCAGCCAGCAGGGGGCAGTGTGCAACAGCCACTATAACTGAATATCGAATTGAGAAACTTAAAATATAAATGACTCAAAGTGAGAAGAAAATATACAATTTATCTTTTAATTATTTCTAATTGAGATACAAATTGAAGATAAAACTGGAGCAATAATTTATTAAGATCCTTTTGGCAAAGCTTGAGCCGTGTTAACTGCTGTGTAACTGACCAGGACCAAACTCCTCTTCTCTGGACAACTCACTATCAGACAACTTAGTCTTTTTGTTGTTTGATTTGATCATAACCACTGCTCTGATGAGGATAAACATAAATAAACATGTAGGCAATACAATTGTGCATTTTAAAGAACAATTGAAGTTTATTACAACTTTGTTCTTTTTAAAATGTTTGACATAGTTTAAATGTGTTTATAACATCACTTGCAGTCACCAAGATAAGAGATGCAATGTTGGTATGCAGTTAGCACTGTGATGAGACAACAAGAACAAACATGTCATTCTTAAAGAGAAGTTTGGAGCACTAAACAACCTTATCTTGGTTATTACTTTGATAAATACAATGTTATCATAGCTGATGCCAAAATTAAGAACTTCAGACCTAAGTCTTCAAAAAATGACATTACATGCTACTTGTGATGTTTAGCTATTCTTTAAAGTGGACCTATCATGCTATATTTGAATAATATAGTGTAGGACAATAACTATATAAGGGATATTTATACTTTTTATTTTTCAAAATACCAAACAGATCATGCATTTTAGCCATTCCTCATTTCGCTCAATTTAACACTGTCTTTGCATGGGCTGATTCTGTGAGAACAGCACCATCTACAGGCCTGGCATATGTACTACAGCGTCTCCAGCACTTTCCAACGGCAATGTCCGTGGCTGTCTCCTCCTGATTGGTGGAGTTGGCCCAATAGCTGTAGCGCCACTTCTGTGACGTCATAGAAGTGTTGAAATCTGGATCAGTCTGTATCAGATCCGTTCGAGCCCCTTTTTAAGAGATTTGGGTATGGAGGAAAAGAGAGAGGGTTGTGTTTTCTGACACTTGGTGAGTTCCCTGGAACACCGGGGACACATATTCATGTATAAAAGACGTATAAAAGTGCATTTTGCATGATAGGTCACCTTTAAGTAAATGAACATGTTGGCGTCATTAGTTGAAACAGTGTTTTCTGTGTTGGTCATTTAAACCCTTATTAGCCTTTTAAGAAATCCATTCGCTGAAAAGATCTTCATTCAGAATTTTAACCCAGATGCAAGTCCCCCCCCCCACCTTCCGGACGTGGTGCATTCAATTACCTCAGAAGGGGTAGAAGGAAGCAGCTGTGGGGACTGCAAACGAAGAAGAGGAGAAAACCAATGATTAAGACGAACTCATATGTTATACTGTATGAGAGTTATTATTGGCTTTTTGTGTGAGAAAAAGTCGCTGAATGACTGTTACTGACTTTACTGTCAGAGTGGGTGACAATGATGTAGGGATAGCTAAATGAAAATGAAAAACTTTTATCTGTGTAGAAAAACCATGAAACCTTTTGGATCAATTAAATTGCTTGAAAGAATAGAGCCATAGAGTCATCACTTTAAATAATGTGAATTAAAAATGAATGTATTATTATTATATTTAAAGAGTATAGGGCCCTCTTGTGGCAACACAGTTGTGAAACTGCGATGCAGCCTTCCATTGGGTTGTACATACTTATGTACAAATTCTTAATGAAAGATGTTATAGACAATTTGAACTGTGTGGATTTTCAGAAAGAGATGTAAAGCTAGAAAGAGGAACTGAAAGAGGAATAGTTGAGAGCTGTGAGGGGCTCTACCTCTCCGTAGTGCCTCTCCTCAGACGGGAAGCTGACATACGGAGAGTAGGACAGCATGTCTGGCCGGTCAATGTTGTAGATGGCCTTGGTCTTTGGGAGGGCTGCCAGGTCCTTGTAGTCCAGCATCTCCTCTCCGAGTTTGGCCTGGCAGCAGAGAGAAGAAACACTCCTAAACAATCAATCAATCATGTTCTGGAATATTTGTTTTCTGAGAAACATGTATTGGACAGTAAGACAGATCATTCGTATGCTGCAGGAAACTGAGCATCTCCTGCCTGGATGTGAGGAGTGTGTGTGAGGAGTGTATGTGCAGTCTTACATAGATGACTCTGCTGGGGGAGCCTGAGGCGCTGGAGGCTGGGACCGAGGTGATGCTCTCAGAGGAGGTCCGGGTCACCTGACACACACACAGTTACGTTGAATAGATGAGATGCACACAGGTTAGGCCAGGTGACAAAAAAAATAGTTATCGATCACCGTTTTATCCATTAAGGGCATGCTTAAGATATTTAGATCTGATTTACACTTTAAATCTCCCATTTGTCTTGTCCTTTAAGCCTTTAAACACATTAAAGCAGATCATTATGTACATAATCGTTTTTTTTACCATTGTAATTAACAAACTAGGTTTTTGTTGTTGTTATCCAAAATCTAAAGTTACATCTACCAACTATTCAAAACACTAGATAGATTCCATTTACTAATATATAAAGGTTAAATGTTATCCCGTTAACTCAAATCTAAGTATCTACATTTTAAATCATTTTTTATAATTTTTTCCACCAAAGAGCACATTTTTGTTTCATTATGTTGGAACAGCACATCTGTGTAGCACAGTGAATTATGATTAGTGAAGCTCTGCCTAACGTGGGATATCAATCAGTTGTGTTAAATCACATGTTGAAGACAGAGTGGACCTTTCCTCATCAGTTTGTTTGATCTTAAGTTAAGGCCTCTGTTTCTGACCAGTTGTGTGCGTGTTAATCTCTTCATTCATCCTACAGATGCAGGTACTGAAACACATCACTCATGTTAGAGCATCCTGTACGTGCACAAACTGATGATCAGCATGGGACAGCATCATCAGTCACTGACCAATCAAAGGTCGTTAGACCTGCTGGCTGCTGCTACATTGAGCAGCTACAGAAGCATGCAAAGTACTTAGTGCCCAGCACTTAGTGCCAGCACTTAGTACCCCCATGGAACTAAGTACAAATCGCGTTCACACCTGAATAAATTCCCTGAGGGAAGATTACGCAAATGAAGCCGCTGCCGTCACTTCTTCTTCTTCTGCTTTGGGATTACTGGCAGGCCGCAAACCACTTCACGGTCACCTGAAGTCCCCGGCCGGAAGTCCCCGGAGTTGGGGACTGGCTTCAGTCTTCTACTGAAGCCTTCTGAGTAAATCGCCAGAACGCCGACACCTCCTCATCACTCCACCGCTCCCATGTTTTCTTTTGTGTTGCCATAAGTGATTCTCTCTCTGTTGGTGCGCGGGGCTAATGCTAATAATGCTAATGCCACCAAATACAATGGCGGCTTCACAAAACTTTTCAGAGTTTTACGGGGCGTGGTTTGCAATTCGCCCAGCCAATCGAAATTGGTACTTTTTTCTCCCCAGGATAGTACCACCTCTCTAGCAGGCACTACATATGGGATAAAAGTTCTCGGAACGAAGTACTCTTTTTGGTGTGAACGCGAAATTCCAGGCACTAACAGAACTAAACGGGAAAAGTACGAGTAAAAGTACTCCGGTGTGAACGCGCCTATGGTGTCAGCAGTTCTGTGAGCCCATGCAGCAGATGGGTGGGGGTGAGGGGGTCAGGTGGGATGTTCACACCAACCTGCTGCTCAGGGACTTCAGTGAGCTGGATCCGGACCTGCTTCTGGGAGGGGGAGGGGTTACGATGAGGGGAGAAGGATGGAGATGAAGGAAGGGCAGATATTGGATGTAAAGCTGCAGGGTTCTGATGAAATGCTAAAACAATGGCTGTTGGTTCTGAACTGTAACTAACCCTCCTCTCCGCTCAAATCCTGCATGTGTGTACTGTTTGTCTTGAGGATGATCTTGTCATTTCAACAGCTTGGTGGATTTTTGTTAAATAAATCCAATACTAACATTAAAACGGCTGCTCTAATATTACTTTTATACTCTGCAGAACCATGAATGAGTCATAGACTAAAATGTAGAAACGCTGTAGTGTTGAACAGAGCACTTTAGTCCATGTCTGATGATCACTACATATCATTCAAATGTTCATTTAGTCTTTCTGACTATGACTGCGATTTACATTAGATCTCTTTTAAATAAACAAATACATTTTAGACATTTAGCAGGCTTTATCAGGAGTCTGGAAAGTTGTTAAGGAATTTCGATTAGAGAGGTTCAATTTAATTACTTTTGTGTCCTTAGCCAATCATTTGAAGCAATTTTCCTCGCTTCATTATTAGCTGTACACTTGAGAAACCAATAATATCTCTTTGGAAAAGTAATTATTTGGGCTTTTGTTGTCTTTTTCACCCACCTTGCTCTTCTCCTCCTGCTTGGCTGCTTGTCTGCATGGGGGGTGCCATATGGAGGAGCCTGAAGACACAGAGACGTACACAGTAACTGGGATTATTCCCAACATTTCACCTGGGTCTAAAACTGGCCAACAAATCTGGTGAGACACTTTAAAGTAATGGTGGAAAAAGAACTCAGATCAAGTAAAAGTTATAATACCACAGTGTAGAAATACTCTGGAATAAGTAAAAGTACAAAGTATTATCATCAAAATTGACTGAAAGTACCAAGTATGTAAAATGCAAAAAAATAAAAAATAAGAACCTGCATAGAAACTGGTACTTAAACCTGAGTAAAGAGAACAATATTTTATTCCAAATTATAGTTGAGTAGAAGTATGAAGTAGCATGGAAAGGAAATAATCAGGTAAATTAAGTATATTAAATATTTACTGAAGTGCAGTACTTGAGTTAATGTACTTAGTTACTGCCCACCACTGCTTGTGAGAAACCCAACAACCAATCCAGTCCCTGATCCCCTCTCTGGCGCCAGCTGATGGTCAATATCATGGATGGAAACTTTACTAGAATATTTTCTGTGTTTATGATTCAGGCCTAAAAGACTAATGATAACACTTTTATTTTTCACTTTCAATTTGTGCTTGGAGGTCATTAGAGGTAATTTAGATTTTTTTTTGAGCTACTAGCATGGTTACAGAATCTTAGTCTTGAGATATAGAAATGTAATACTTTGACCAGAGTCTAGAGGGACTCAATTAGAAATGTTTTTTGTTTAACAATGGAGAGTGAAGTGTTTTAGGATTCAACACTTTCCAGAAAGGCTGACACAGTATCTGTCTTGAAGCTAGGAGCTATTAAAACATATCAAAGATTGGAGGCCTATTATTCTTCAGATCCAAAAACTGATCTCACCTTGCAGGTACATTTCTTCTCCCTCTGCAAACATCTGCTCACAGCGGGCACAGCGGGCACATGAGGGATGGTAGTGCTTCTCTCCAGCCTAGTGAGGACCAATCAAAAGCAGGTTCTGACCATCAGCACGTTGTTATGACTTGTTTTGCCTATAGGTTAATTGCTAAAAAGGAAAAAATTGTGCACTAAGATGTGGGAAAAAAATCTAAAGTTGAAGAACAGAAGAGCATTCATTTTGAATGAAAAACAGGGTCTGACATAATGCAAATCAATAACATATTTGCATTCCCTACTAGGGAAATGCCCGCCATTTTCAAATTCCCCCACACCAATGTTTCCTGTTAGATAACCAGTGTTGAGATAGCCATATTAGGTTGAACACTAAAAACGAAAGTTAGTTATAATCAACTATAATCAATTATATTCTTGTATAACCCACAATGAAAATGCTTCATATTTTATGGTTTTCTATATTTACAGTATAAACAAAACACAAGTGGTTTGTTAAGTTGAGTGTAAGGCCTATTATGGTTTATGGGTGTCACTAGATAAGAAAGAAGAGACACAAAATGTGTTTATGCCATAGCCATAGAATAGGACATGTCCCGTCTGCACATCAGAG